CTATTATGAGAACTAAATTGATTTTAAATTATTATCATTCTATACAATAAGTTACAACTTTTCCAAATTTATTTATAAACTGTTTTTTTTCCTCGATCGATTCCAATTGAATCTGGTGGACATTCCTTTCATAGCATTTATAAAATAAATTGATTTATCAATCCAACAAATATTTTAACAATTCAAAATTAAACTGCGAAATTTCAAAATTCGACTTTCTGAAGTATTTTCTTCATTTTAAACAGTTATGGACATTATGGATATATAACAACTAGAATATTAATACGTATTTCAGCAAACTAATTAAATTCTAATCTAGTGCAATTTTTAAATGCATATCATCCTTTAAACGTCAAGTGAGTAAGTAACTCATTAACCGATTTGACGTATTTTGTAAGCCAAATAAGAAAATACGTTTAGAAAATAGTAATGCTGCAAGCTTAAAATTAATTGAAATTTCATATTATTTAATCATTTTTTTTTTGATAATCTAAAATTTATAAATTTTTCCTGATTTTTAAAAAATGCTGCAATATTAAAGCATTACTTTTAGATCTCACCAAATCCTACATATTAATATAATGCCGAGAAAGAAATTGCATCAAGTGTAAACTAAAATGTTTTGTTACCATCAATACTCACAAATTTTTAGGCACCGAATATTTATTCATATTGAGGCTTCTTCCCTAGTAATTATTTCACTTTTTTTAATAACCGTTGTAGAACAGCAGACCCAATTTTGAGTTTAAGAATACCAATGTTCAACTCGAAAGCCTTGCAATTTTGAACCCAATCCAGAAGACAAGGTAATTCATAGATCAAGTATTGGGAGAATTTTGCCTGCGTGGAGAACTTTTTGATGGAACTAACCAGCATTTGCGTAACAGGGAAAACTTCCCATGGATAGCATAACGCTAAGGGGACTCTAATCCATCCGTCAACCACTGAGGATATTTTACATCAGCATTGTGGTCGGTGTAAGACGGGTGCGGAATCGACCATCCATCACTGAATCGTGTTCACCTCATTGGGAAGCGAGCGCTCTTCCCCCTGATCCACCGCTACTCCCTTAAAAGTCATAACCAAAAATGCTTCATGCTGCATTGAACAAAAAAATGATTGTAAACAGTCTGATGTCCCAATGGAAAAACATGCGTATATTTTCAAGAGACAGAAGATTTTATTCTTTCAAAGTCTCGAAAAGGGATTTCTGTTATCTTTAAATACTATCTCGCTATTTTAGGGAAACTTTTGCATGCATATTATAAGCAGAAATTTTTTTTTAAAAAAAAAATGCTTTTTTTTTCAAGGTCAATTTACAAAGAGTTTAAAATAGCTTTTTGTAACATTCCTCAACCTATTTGACTTACTTTAGTTATCAACAAGATGGACAGGTGGTCAAGGTTACAAAGAATTTCCCCCTTTTATTATATATGATATTTTCATCTTGAGCCACGAAGAAAAATTTGGGTGAAATTACCGTACTGTAACGGTATAGCGGAAATTCTGGTTTCTAAATTATAGTTCTTATTAGCACACATTTAGTAAAAAATACACTTTAATACTAAACACACAAAAATACTAAAAAGTAAATACCGAAAAAGTGAATTTAGTACCGAATAAATTATTTTTATTCCATGCTCTAAAGTTTCATGATAAAATTTATGAATTTTACTACAATCACTCACAATTTACAAAACAATATTTTATTGCTAATTTTACGAAAATCATTACAAAAGCGTTTCGGTAAAAATTATCAAGCTTTTTTGTGTTCCTATCGAGCCAGAAACACGTTAAATATGGTAAAATATTTTGGCGGCATTGACCATACTTTTCTTCAGGTCAATTAGCAAGGATGAATAAGGTTTCACAAATTTTTTAGTCAGTGCCTTAAATTTGAAAAGCAAAATTGTTTTGATACCTCATTTTATGGTATGTCATTTCTCTGCAAAAGTTTAGAATTCGTATGTAGAATATTTTCACAGTGAGGTCGCATTTTTTAACTCAGTTTTGTTTTAGCCTCATTTTCTTCTCATTTGTTGAAATTTAAAAATGAAAAAAATTAATTAAAAAGTAAAATGACATCCAAGAAAAATAACGAAGCGGAATTGAAAAACGTATTTTCTGTGAAAATTATTTTAAACATGAGCGGATAAGATTTTATTCTAAAGCATTTTTCTAAAAATTTTCAAAAGATTACATACCATAATAATTCTTTAACTGATAAAATATAGGGTGGCGTAACATAATCGTAATTTTTAAAACTATTGCCAAAACATTTAATGGTTACTGCACAATAATTCTTTAAAAATTGTAACATTTAACCAAAATTTAAGAAAAAAAAAATTATTTATGTAATTTTTATTTGTGTAAGGTAATTTTTATCATGTAAAGGCAATTTTTATTTATGTAAAACTTGTTGTTATGTAAAAATTATATGAAAAAGAAAAACTTTTATGGGCAGTTCTCAAAATATGGGAACATTACACAGTCCCAAATTCTGAGAACAATTAAATTTTTTAATTTATTCATTGTAAGCCTTTTAAAAGTAAATTTATAATTCCGTCTCGTGACAGGAATTAACATAAGACATCGCAATTGTTTTCTTTAAATACCTTAAACAAATATTTTTTTTTCTAACCAAAAGGTCTAACTTTTTGACATTTATGACGTTATATTAACCAATGTAACACACACGGATGAACAATAAAGTCTAGATTCCGAATAAAAATAAGAGTTTAAAGTTAAAATGGTGCGGCTATCTTTCTATCTACCATTGAAATAATTTTTCAAACATTTAAGTATTTTCTTTAAATTTTATTAAATATTTCTGTCACAAAATGCCATATTTATACACGTGAAATATAGGATTAAGCAAATGATTTAAGGTATGTAATTTTTTTCATAAATTTATAGTTTCAGATGATCTGATGTCTAAAATTCGGTGTTATTATAGCTTTAACTTTTTATAAATAGAAAAGTATATTGCAAGAGCAGAGAACATTTAAGGCATATAGCGTAAATATCAATAGAATTCAGAATTAACTGCTATTCACGTAATTCTTACTAATTTTTGAGATATACATAAAATATTTTTGAAAGTTAAGTCTATTTTCAAAGTAGATTCACAAAAAAATCCTATATAATTATTAATTATGTCAAATTTAGATCCAAAAAAAAAATCTTGACGCATTTTAAAATAATGACAAAAAGTAGGAAAAGTAATCATGACAAAATGTTAAATTTAATCTATATTACTTAAATAACCCTTTATAATGTTACTTTAATCCGATTCTGTTGTATTAAAATAATTTTTTAACTTAAAATGACAGAAAATAAAAAGCAAAAAGTAAATAAGTATTAAATTATATTCTTGACATTTTTCTTTAAAAAAAGTATGGGATTTACTTAATTATGTCATGTACCTACGTTGAAACAGGATTAAATTAGTCACGTCAAAAACGATTGCCAGGTATGATGGCACGCCAATTTATCAGGTCAATAGAGTTCGACTCATAGTTTTTTTTTAGCATAATAAACCAATTAGTGGTCGCTGTCCCGTTTTAGAGACAGTTCGAAAAATGCGTCACAATTTTTTTTTAGATCTAAATTTGACACAATTATTTTTAAGTATTCTATTATTATATAAGTATTCCATTATTATTTTCAAGTCTTACTCGTAATTTTTTTTCTAAAGAGCCATTTTAGAAAAATATTTAATTATTTATTTATTTCAATTCAACTAATAGTGTAATAACTAGAAATGGAAAATTACATTCTTCTTAGAATTGCACACAATTTTCGAGTTAAAAATTTGCAAAATGTTCTAGAATTTCGCTGAGTTTTTGATTTTTTATTCGTATTCCAGCAGTAGTTACTGGCATCACTCTGCGCTTTAAAAAAAGAAAAAATATTGAAAGAAAAACTAATATTAATAAACTATTTAAAAGAGAAACCTATATTAATTATGCTTTCTTATTTGATTTATTTATTTCAGATTAAAAAAATAGACACATGATACGGAGTTTATAAAATCAGAAATTAAATGACTCACAAATAAAATATATAACAGAATATATAATACAATTATAAAATAACACCAGACCTAATAGAGCTTAAAGGTTGTTTTTTACAGAACTAACATATGATTTATAGTAAAAAATATAAGATTTTAGATATTATAGTTTTGCAAACTCTTTAAAATATCTTTCTTAGAAATTAAAAAAAAAACTTTTAGACTGGAGATACGTTAAAGCTATGATTTGCTAGAATGGGCTCACAGATTTTTTGTCGAATTTTTGAGAAGGATAGAATCGAAATTTGTAAGTAAAACTTTATTTATTATTCAATTTTTTTTTATGTAGGTTTGATTTATCAGCCAAACACTCTGAAGAGTGAAATATTTTAAAAAAAAGCAGACAAAGGTATTTTTAAGGATTTAAAATATTATGTATCAAAAAGTTCCATTTCCACCAAAATGAACTCAATTTCTGAAATAAGTGAAATATTCAGTGTACAAGTAAATTTAATATTAAAATGAGCAAATATTCAGTTAAATATTTAAAGAAAAGACAAATATCGGTATTTTTTAGGATTTAAAACATTACTTCTCAATAATTTTCCAATTACACCAAAGTAAATTTAATTTTTAAAATATTAATAAATATTTATTTTTAGGGTTCAAAATATTACTTATCAATAAATTCCAATTACAAAGTAAATTTAATTTTTAAAATAATAATAAATATTTATTTTTATTATTTATTCCTCGTGCGAGTAAATTTAATATTAACACAAGAAAATATTCAGTGAAATATTTTAAGAGAAAACAAACGTCGGTAATTTTTAAGGTTTTAAATACTACTTATCAATAAACTCCAATTATAAGACTACAGTAAGTTTAATCTCTAAAATATTAATGAACATTTATTTTTATTATTGATAAAATTTAAAGAAATGAAGAAGTAAAAATAGAAATAGAAAAATAACGGAAATTTTACCTGTCGTAATAAGAAAAAAGAAGCTCCAGAGGAACTCCATGTTAGTTCCGGTTCAAGGTAATTCTGACAGGTCTTACTATTGCTGAAGTGTTTAAAGATCCACGCTGTGACGTCATTTGAACTTGAAACCGCTTCGTTGATCATCTTCTTCTCATTCTTCTCTTTTGGCGATTTATCTTTAAAATATGCCAATACTTTTCTTTTGATTTGAGTTCTCAAAACACAGATTAACGTTTCTTTTTCGACATTGGAACCCTAAATGATTGATCTGTTTATAGCGGAACACATGAAACATTAAAAAAAGTTCATTCGCAGCTGTGAATATACTAACCGAGAAAAGAACTATTTATTATTTTGAAAATATTTTATGTGAAGAATTAAATATTTAATAAATTACTAGTATAATATACTAATTGGGAACTAGGATAATATATTAAATATTTAATATATTAATATGATGAATATTTTTTTTGGTGTATGCATATGCTGAAAATGAATAAATTGATTAGAGTTCTCAAAGCACAGCTATGCCATGGGTTTCCGAGTTTCTTTCGACATTGGAACCCTAAATAATCAATCTACTTTTAGCGGAACACCAGAAACATAAAAAAAGTTCATTAGCAGCTGTGAATATACTAATCAAGAAAGAGACTATTTATTATTTTGAAAATATTTTATGTGAAGAATTAAATATTTAATAAATATTATAGTATAATATGTTAAATATTTAATATGCTGATATTATGAATTTGCTTCTGGTGTATGCATATGCTGAATATCAATAAATTGATTTTAATTCTCAAAACACAGATATGGACTTTAAGCCATGGGTTATTGTTTGTTTTTCGTCATTGGAACCTTAAATGATTGATCTGCTTTTAGCGGAACCTCGGAAACCTACAAAAAAAAGCTTATAAGCAGCTGTGAATATACTTACCGAGGAAAAGACTATTATTTTGAAAATATTTTATGTGAAGAATTAAATATTAATAAATATTATAGTATAATATATTAAATATTTAATATGCTAATATTATGAATTTGTTTCTGGTGTATGCATATGCTAAATATCAATAAATTGATTTTAATTCTCAAAACACAGATATGGACTTTAAGCCATGGGTTATTGCTTGTTTTTCGTCATTGGAACCTTAAATGATCGATCTGCTTTTAGCGGAACCTCGGAAACCTACAAAAAAAAGTTTATAAGCAGCTGTGAATATACTTACCGAGGAAAAGACTATTATTTTGAAAATATTTTATGTGAAGAATAAAATATTTAATCTTATAATTTAATATATTTAATATATTAATATTATGAATATGTTTTTGGTGCATGCATATGCTGAAAATGAATATAATGGAGAAAAAAAAACTGTTGCAAACGTTGTGAATAATTATCAGAGAAACGTAATTCTTCCTTCTTTAATTTAGTTATTTTATTTTGAATTGCAGATTTTGATGAGAAATACTTACATAATTTTTTATAAATACATATCCTATTTATAATTTATTCATTGCTATTGAAGAAACAGAATTTTAGTTTGCTACTTTTTTTCATTGACATAAATAAGTTCATATAAACTACTGAAGTATTGAACAAATTATGGATTATTGATTGGATACAAAATTGATATTAATGGTTAAAAAATCCTTTAAAGGAATACCTTTTGGAACTGATGCTGTAAGCTATCAAAGCAATTAAGGTTACGTCACAATTAGGGTGAAGTCACAATTAACAGATTTATAATTCTGTCTGGCAAAACTTTACATATTATTTAAAAAATTTCTATATATTTCTTAAAAAAAAGAGGAAAAAAAGCGGTGTAACCCAATTTTAGAAATCGATGTTGTTAATTAACAAAAAGTAACACCAAAGAAATTTTATACAGTATAAAAAATTCTGGATCAAATTACGGTAAAAATTACCGGCATTCAGGGTGTTGGTACTTTTTACCGTAGAATCTATTTTGAACGGAACATGTAACGGAGCAAAAAATCTCATATACCGTAATTTTTGCAGAAATAATTACAGTAAAATCACAGAATTACTCAAATTTAATAAATATTACAGTAAAAATCACGGTATAATATTTTAGGGTAAAAATGTATTTTACGGCAAATTAGATTTTATGGGAAGTGTTGTTATTTTATCCCGTTGTTTGATTCGAGTGTAATAGTTTTCAGATGTTTAAAAATGGTAAAAAGGGAATAAAGTTTCAATTTCTCGATAATCTACCTCTCAAAGCAAATTGCTTTCCTGATTCTTGTAAAATTAAAATCATCCCTGATTATAAAAAAAATAATTTGAACCATTATAATGAATGTAGACCTATTTTTTATTTTATTTTATAACAGTTGTTGAACAGCCAACCCAATTTTTGGGTTTGCGACTACTATTGTTCAACTCAGTAGCCTTGTAATTTTGAACCCAATCCGGAAGACAAGGGAACTCCTGGATCAAGTATTGGGAGAATATTTGCCTTCGAGGAGGACTTTTTCATGGAACTAACCCGCACTCGCGTAACATGGAGAGGAAAACCACGGAAACCTCCCATGGTTAGCCTGACGGCAAGGGGACTCTGACCCATGATTCGTCTACCACTGAGAATATTTTACGTCAGCTCTGCTGTCGGTGCTAACCAGATGCGGAATTCATACCGACCAGCGATCGCTGGGATCGAACTCGGGTCACCTCATTGTTAGGCTATCGCTCTATCCCCTGAGCCACCACGGCTCACTGCTATTTTAAGGATTTTTTCAAAAATCTTCGAAAGTATTATTCCTTAAAAAAAATTCAGTCAAGTGAAATATTCTATCTCAGATGACCTTCTGCCTAAAAGAGCCAAAGTAACAAATTTGCTTTGTGTAAATAGTAAAATCATATCTGCTTTTAAAATTAAGTCCCAGCTTAATGTGGTTCGCACGAATTTTTCTTAAGTTTTTGACTCTATGGGCTTTGATATTTTGTTAAATAATTTGACTCTGGTTATCGTTAAAATCTTATTAAATGGTTATTTTCTTATTTGTGAAATAGATATTTTAGAACTGTGATTTCTAATAAGTTTAATAATTGTTACTGTCACAAATCTTGAATTGCTGCTTTTCATTTTATTTATAAAAGATCTCTCTGTTGCGTTTTTAAAAATTTTAAATTTTCATATTTTGCAGATGATGTGAAAGTTTTTAAATTTATAAATACAAATTCGAGTAGTCTGCAACATGACCTAGATAACTTTTATAATTGATGTAATATTAACCATTTGGATCTTAATATTGAAAAATGTTTCATTGTTACTTAAGCACATTTATCTCAACCTTTTATATTTACTAATAAAATCTTTAATTCAGTTGGATACAATTAAAGTTCTTACTTTTCACTCTAATCTTGATTTTTCTCATCGCATTAATAATTTAGTTTCCAAAGTTTATGATAAACTCAGTTGGATACAATTAAAGATGTTACTTTTTAGTCTAACCTTGATTTTTCTCATCACATTAATATAGCTTCCAAAGTTTATGATAAACTCGGTTGGATACAATTAAAGATGTTACTTTTCAATCTAATCTTGATTTTTCTCATCACTTTAATAATTTAGTTTCCAAAGTTTATGATAAACTCGATTGGATACAATTAAAGATGTTACTTTTCACACTAATCTTGATTTTTCTCATCGCATTAATAATTTAGTTTCCAAAGTTTATGATAAACTCAGATGGATACAATTAAAGATGTTACTTTTCACTCTAATCTTGATTTTTCTCATCGCATTATTAATTTAGTTTCCAAAGTTTATGATAAACTCAGTTGGATACAATTAAAGATGTTACTTTTTAGTCTAACCTTGATTTTTCTCATCACATTAATATAGCTTCCAAAGTTTATGATAAACTCGGTTGGATACAATTAAAGATGTTACTTTTCAATCTAATCTTGATTTTTCTCATCACTTTAATAATTTAGTTTCCAAAGTTTATGATAAACTCGATTGGATACAATTAAAGATGTTACTTTTCACACTAATCTTGATTTTTCTCATCGCATTAATAATTTAGTTTCCAAAGTTTATGATAAACTCAGATGGATACAATTAAAGATGTTACTTTTCACTCTAATCTTGATTTTTCTCATCGCATTATTAATTTAGTTTCCAAAGTTTATGATAAACTCAGTTGGATACAATTAAAGATGTTACTTTT